CTTCGCGGGGCTGTCTGCGGCGATGCCGGACAAGCGGCTGCAGAGGCGCCCGGCGGCGAGGCCCGTGCTCTTCTCCCCGCCCAGAAGCACTGCGAGCGAGGAAAACATGCCGCCTGAAGAAGGGGAAGCCCTAGAAATACCCGGGAGGCTCTGGCAGTTTTGTTTTCAGGCTGGCCCAGGAGGCCCCGGATGGCTAGGCCCCCTTTGAGCACGCTCCACTTCCGGGTCCCCAGTGGGGGACACGGACCCGGCTGGCGGGCGCCCGGCCTGGCGCCTCCGCAGACTCCAGCGAAGAGCACACGCGTTTCTTTTCTTTCTTTTTTTTCCTTTTAATTTATTTTTCTGCCGGTCCTGGGACTTGAACTCAGGGCCTGGGCTCTGTACCTGAGCTTTTGTGCTAGGAAGTGTAAGACCCTGAGTTGTCTTTAGCTCAGAAAGAGAAAAGAAAATGGGAAAGAACAGAGAAAGAACGAAAGAAAGCCAGTTGCCTGTGGCTCATGCCTCATCCTAGCTGCTCAGGAGGCTGAGATCTGAGGATCGCGGTTCAAAGCCGGCCCGGGCAGGAGAGACCGTGAGACTCCTATCTCCAATAAACCACCAGAAAACCGGAAGTGGCGCTGTGGCTCAGCGGTAAGAGCGCTCGCCTTGAGCTGAAGAGCGGAGGGACAGCGCCCACGCCGAGTTCAAGCCCCACAACTGACCAAAAAAACAAAAAGCAAAAAACTTTTTTTTGGGGGGGGAGTCCGTTCGCGGGGCCTGGGCGCTGCCCCGGTGCTCTTCAGTTCAAGGCGAGCGCTCTTTACCAGTCCCAAGTTTGGTAGATTAAACACTAGAGCAATTATTTATTTGCCAGTCCTGGGTTCTGTCCCTGAGCTTGTGTGTCGAGGCGAGCGCTCTACCACTTGAGCCATAGCGCCACTTCTGGCTTTTACTGTGGATGGGGTGCTGAGGAATCGAACCTAAGGCTTCACGCATGCAAGGCAGGCGCTCTACCACTGAGCCACCTTCCCAGCCTAGGAACTGCTTATAAAAGGCAGTAAGCAACAGCAACAAAACACCCTGACAGTAAGGACAAACAACAAACGTCGCGTAGGACGGCCAATCGACTTCCGGAAGCAGAACTGCCCACAGCGAGTAGGTCGGAGGCCCCGCCCGTGGGTGGGCAGAGCCGCAGCACTTCCCAGCGAGGACCCGGGACGGCTGCCTTCCCGACGGACTACAACTCCCAGCATGCCGCGGGGCTGCCCCACGCCCCGCAGGCCGGGAGCGGGACGGACGCCGGCCTATGAGGCTGTGCGGACCCGCGCAGGTTTGACGGGAGGAGCGGCGGCGGCGGAGGATGGAGGCGGTCGTGTTCGTCTTCTCTCTCCTAGATTGCTGCGCGCTCATCTTCCTTTCGGTCTACTTCGTATCCTTTCCTTGAGCGTGGTGGGCCCCAGATGGCCCGGGGCTTAGAGCGGGCATGGGAGCGCGGCAGGCCGCCCGGCA